TGCTCCTGTAAAGATGACATACAGCCTAGGAAACGTTGAGGCAGTTCCACTGTTCTATAGGGTTGTGGGGAGTTAGGAAACCACTCGACAGCACCTAACAAACTCACTGCCATCGAGTTGATTCTGACTCCGAGCGACCCTTGCATTGAAGAGGGTTTAGACTATTCAAACTGCTTTGGAACATGCAGCTGTCAACTTGAGAAAAATGCGGAATCAAAATATCAAATACAAAAATGAATTCTAGGTAACACAGAGCACCGAAGGCATGAAGAAAAATTAATCTGGTTACATCCAGAATCTAAAGAGACACCAGACATTTGTTCAAGTGTAATTTTCGGAAAAGTAAACGCAAGACTCATACAAACATACAGTGAGTCCATGTCAAAGATTTTATTGAACACATTAATTCATGAGACAACAAGAAAGACATTAAAATGGTTCGAATGAGCATCTGATCCACAGAGGTTTAAATTCTCTAAGGAGTTCCCTGGTGGCACCAACAGTTAAACACTCAGCAGCTAATCCAAACATTGGTGGTTCAAGCCCACCAAGGTGCCTCAGAAGAAAGGCCTGGTGATCAACTGCTGAAGAATCAGCCATTTTCAACCCAGAGTCCGGTTCTTCTCTGACATACATGGAGTGGCCATGTTGCCCTGAGTTGGAATCGACTGGTTTGTACTGGTACATTCTCTGAGTAACAGAATTCATGGGTATTACCGTCAACAACAATCATTTGCTTAGTTATGGAAAGGAAATTTCTATATCGCTATCAGTTTTCGACAAGTTAACTTCTCTCTCCCCGCAGCCTAGTCAAAGTAGATCACCCTGAAAGCCCGCTAGCCGATGCCCAACACTCCCTTGAAAGGACACTCAGTAATCTCTAGCACATTTCCATCTTTCCCAATTTTTCCTGACAGGTTATTTAAAAAGTTAAATAAAATCATAGCCTGGCAACAAGTTAAGGATGTGAGGGAAGGTAAAAGCAAACAAAAAACAAAAATCTCTTACATATCAAGGACAACTAACCAATTGTCCTAGAAAAGTGAGAAAGGATACAATTCCAGGAGCCAAAAATATAATAAAGATACTTAACCTCACTTACAGGGAAATACACAAAAATCTAAGTTACAGATGTTCAAAAACCTGACATTTGGATATTGAGGAAATGTATGACACACAAACCACTGTACTGGATTTAAAAAGCCATTTGAACGTTCTCTTTCAAAGCTGTAAGCATGCTGCCCTTTCGACTCCACTTTCCCCATCCATAGGTTCTTGCGTATGGATATTCAATGCACACCAGCAAAGAACTGACGTGGAGTATCTATGAGCAGGACAGAAATTCTGTACATCAATAATCCATACCATGAGGCATGTAACATAAGCAGGTAACAGCAGTCTCTTAAGTGCTGATAATGAAATTTAAGACACACTGCTAAGTGAGAGAAAAAAAAAACCAAGCAGCCACACAGCATGCACAGCATAAGGCCACTTTTGTTTCATTTTCTAAAGTACACATTGTACAATGTTTCTAGTTAAGAATACAAGAAGGCGCAGGCTCAGGTGATTGGTTTAAGGTCAGTGATGGTTTTGTTACTGTCCTTATTAACACGGAGGGTCTGCGTCAATGGTCCCTGTTTCGCTGGGTATAGCTACTCGCTCTTCACTATAGTGCTCCTTCCTCCATTCACAAGACAGAGTGGCTTAGAGGCTTTAGCGCCCTTCCTGCATAATCTCCATCAGTCCCTTCCCCAAAAAGCACATATTGTTAAAAACGGTAAGCTCGGGTGGCAACAGACATGTTTCTCAGCCACCAGCCCTTCCTCCCTGCAGCCAACTGCTGCATCCCACATCAAAATTCTGAGCTTGCTCCTAACTTCATTAGGTAGGGCTCCTACCTGATGTTTTGTGCCTTAGTTTCTAATTCACACATGGCCCCCATTTTCACACAGGTCTCTACAGGGTTTCCAGTGGCAGTTTTTGGAAGTAGATTGCTATGTCTTTATTCCCATTTGCCTCCGGGTGGGCTTAAAACCGCCCACCTGTCTTTGGCAGTCTGCAGGAACTTAATGGTTACAGCGTGTGTGGATGGTTGGATGACTGGAAAGGAAACTGCTGAAACTTGGGGGCTGAATGGCAGAGTGTGACAAAATTGTTGAGACTGCATCATTCTTAAGATTGAGTCCACTGGAGAAAGATTCTGAAGTCAATCACTAAGGAAAAGCTGAGTGTCTATTTCACATATTAGTTTAAGTCTTGTAGGAAGTTAAGTGACATCGTTTTAGGTGAGTCAAAAGTACACATATGCCCTGATACTTCCTGTAACTTTAAGAATGAAAATGTCCCAAACTGAGTTATATTATTAAACAGGCAACACTAATCATTTCATGAGTGTTAAGCCAAGACTAGAATCTGGAGTTAAAAGTTAAAATACAGCCACCTAATCATTTGTCATTTGCTCTCTCTAGGACCATTACACTGATCACCACAGCCAAAATTTTATCTGTGGTTTTTCCATCCCATGCATGAATTCCTTTAGGACCCAAGGATTGACAAGGACCTCTTGTGGTTCATAAATTTCTAACTGGCATCTTGGTGTTGTGAAAATTAACATTAATTGTAGGCAGGGGCACAGGAGCAGTTGAAGGGAGAACAGAGTATGGAAGACCTTTCAAATATTAATTCGATGGCAAAAAATGTCTTTGCTGCTTAACCCTTTAAGCACATGTGGACTGAAAGTGGCAGAAGGGTTTTTAGTTCAGTGACAGTGTGACATTTAGCAATTTATCTCCATCCCCATTTTAATGCCTCAAGAAGATGGGAACACTGTGATCTTTATTACACTTCACCTTAAATACATTCAAGTCATTTGAAAATAATTTTTCTGAAAAACAAATAAACTAAAATTCAAATACTTTCTTCAAAACAAAAATGTTACCTTTGGTTTCCTCCCCCAGATCTGGTTTTATCCATTACATGACCAGGAATGCAAAGGAGATTCTAGAAAACTTTGCACTGCCTTCTGATGGCACATCAGCCACGTACAACCCTAACCCACTACAGAGCTCATTCACTGCAGCACAGCCCTCAGCTCTCTAAGCCCCTGCGTCCATGACTACTGCCTCAGCGCCTACAGGCCAGCCAGAAGCATGACCCTTGGACTTCTTAAGCCTTGGAAACCTAGTACCGTAATTTGGACACTTTTCATCACAACTGAGAATTACCACGTCCTCAACGACAGCCTCTCACGGTCTAATAAGTATTAGTATCTTACACAAGAGAAGCTTAAGTAAATGTGTTCTTTTCAATATAGAGCACAGGGTTATAGTTAAATTAGGTGCTCAGTGGAACAAGACGGTAGAAACATCTTCATCACATGTGATAGGTGCTAAACTACAGGCCTAAGAACTGCTTACTGTTGCAAATGCTGTATTTGGCCATAAGGTAGGGATTAAAAAAACAGTTATTCCCAGAAAACTGTCATCTAGAGAGCAGATTAATATTAGTACAAGGAGTTTGTCAGCAATCGTAGATTTTATCTTCCCAGCCAAGCCTACCTATCCTTCCACAGAACCTAGTTTGTAGGAAAACCAGCTTATAAAATGTAAACCCTCACAGCACATTATGAATGCCTCTGAATGATATTGGGATTACCAAAAATTCTGTATTATGAGAAAATGGTATTTTATAAGGAGAAAATTAACATTACAATTTAACTTGTGGCTCTAAAACCCAAAAGCTGTTTCCTCCAGCTGAAGGGAGATCTATAGCTGTGTTCTTGCTTGTATGGTTCCTGAATCATAAAAACCAAACCCACTGCCACAGAGGTGATTCTGACTCATAGCGACCCCCACTGGCTTTCTGAGGTGGTAAATCTTTATGGAAGTAGATTGCCCCATCTTCCTTCCAAGGAGTGGCTGCTGGGTTTGAACCTCAAACTTTCTTGCTTTTAGGCACTATGTCACCAGGGCTCCTGAAACATGTATCTTTGAAAACATGCCCTGCTTTGGCCTTGCACAAGTGAGCACTCCCTGTACTATGGTGAATCTATCACGTTCCTAGGAACGGGCAACCCAATACAAGTTCAGTGAGAGGTCAACGACCCAGAAAGTCACTTCCTGCCTCAGAACATGTCTGAAGATTGTGCCAATGTTTATGAACAGTCTGTTCTCCCAAGTTCCCTATACCAAGCATTGTGAGCAGCAGTTAATGGGAATGATTTGGAAGAAGACGGGAAGGCTTAAAAAGGTAAGTAGCTTCTTGCCTCTAACAGGCAGGAAAGGAGCTCTGGTGGCACTGTGGTTAAAGCATTCAGCTGCTAGCCAAAAGGTCAATGGTTCAAACCTACCAGCCACTGCATGGGAGAAAGATATGGCAGTCTGCTTCTGTAAAAGTTTACAGCTTTGGATACCCTAGGAGGCAGGTGTACTCTGTCCTACAGGGTCACTATGAGTTAGAATTGACTCAATGGTGAGGGCTGGTATAGGCAGGCATCAATCCAGAGCCCTTACACAGGACTTCACAGAATTGCCTTCACCACAATATGTGCTATCTCAGCTCAATGGCCAAGAAATGTTTCTCACGAGTTCCATGGCAGATTCTCACGCAGCAAACCTGCACCAACTAGTGGAACACACGGTATAAAGTAAGTAAAGAAAACATTAATTCATAGCTTCCAAATAAAATCCACAAGACGTGAAAAATCATGAGATTTGAAATGTCAATAGCATACTCAAAAGCAATGTTACATTTTAATAATGAACAAAACAAAACAAAAACCACAACCACAGAGAAGCACTGTAACACCCATCCCCCAATTCTATTAGCAAATACACAGAAAAGCTAATAAAAAACACATTTTACTTCAAAACACATGTTCTTACACCCAGTAACATGTTTTAGAATTACCTATGGCCATTTAAAAAAAAAAAATTTAAGTCCAGGATGCACTCTTGGGTACTTTTCAACAGAGATCAGGACCTGGGTAAGCACTACTGAGTTTAGGTTGATGGGGGCACTTTGGGTTTTCTGGGCTTCTGCTTGGGGGTCTGGGGCCTTTTCCTGGCAGACTTAGCAGGAGTGGCGAAGAACTTGGGCTCCGGCTTTTTTGGAGTCTGCCTCAGGTCTTTTTTCCCCAGGGCAGAGTTTTGTTCTTTCTCTGCCTCTTTGACTCTCGGCTTCTTCCCTAGGCCTTGACCTGGGGTCCCTGGTTCTGCAGCTTTAGGGGTCTCCGGAGCTAGGGAGGCCTTTCTCTTCTTCCCAAGAGGTGTGTTGGGACCAGGACTCTTTTTCGGTGGCTTCTTTGCTGTGGTACCTTTTTGCATCTAAGGAGAAAAGGAAGTTCTTAAGTCTACTGACAGTGTAACTCCACGAGTTATTTGTTTTACCAGCTAACCCCCAAAAGGGAAACCTCAGTGTGATGGACTGAGAAACGGCTTTTCCTTTTGCTTCACAGATATTCTGAAAAGCATTCGAATTCCATTATTAACAATTTTCAGGATGCAGTTTGCACCGGTCCAATCAAAGGAAAACCACTCTTCCCTGTGGCTGAAAGGAGCCCTGGTGGCCCAAGAGTTAAGTGCTTGTCTGCAAACCAAAAGGTCAGTGGTTCGAACCCATCAGCTGCTCTGCAGGAGAAAGGTGAGTCTCGGAAACCCTCTGAGCAGTTCTACTCTGTCCTATGGGGTTGCTACAAGTCAGAATCGCTCTGCTCCAGGGCAGCGGGTTTTCCTGTGGCTGAGGGTAAGGACGCTCTCCTGGAAGCTACCACTGAACACAGAGCTTGGAGCCTGTGCACTAATTCAGTTCCTTGCATGTAGTCTAGCTAAGGCAAGGAGTTCTCCAACTGTTTAAAAACCAACCGGGTGCCTGTTAGCACACCCATCTCCCAATGTTAGATTCAGAGGCCCTGAGGGGAGGGGGCTACATGCCAGGAACACTGGGGTTTTCCAAGCACCCAGATAACTACTGCTACTGATCATCCGAGGACAAGATTCTGACAGTGGACTGTGTCCAGGAGAGAATACTTTACAGAGCCAAAAACCAATTCTAAACAAAGACTCAATAGCTGAGAATTATGCCCTTCCCCCAGTTACTCCACATGCATTTTAAGCACTATAAACTCTAACTAAACATGATTTCTAGTAACTTTATCAAAACCAATGCAAGGACACATGATAAGTTTCTAACTCTTGCTTCTATTGTGAACAATGGTGAAACCCAATCCTATTTCCTAGATGGGTTCAAAGGGTGTGAACACGTCTAAGGTGTTTGATGGTCCTCAGTCAGCTATGCTTTGTCACCTTTAATTTACCACACTACCCACTGGTCCCATTATAACAAAAACAGCTTATTTTTTCTAAAAACAATTATGTTGTTGTTATGTGCCGTCGAGTTGGACCTGACTCATAGCAACCCCTCCTTGGGTTTCCGAGGCAGTATCACTACGGAAGTAGATTGCCCAACCTTCCTTCCAAGGAGTGGCTGGTGGGTTTGAACCGCCAGCCTTCTGGTTAGTGGTCAAGTGCCTTAGGCACTATGCCACCAGAGCTCTTGCAGAGTGGCTGGTGGGTTCTAAATGCTGACCTTTCAGTGAGCAGCCAAGCCTTAACCACTGTGCCACCAGGACACCCTTAATAGGGTTACAAAACCAAAAAACCAATAATACACTGACCATCTGGGTTAATTTTAAGGATATTAACAAATGCAACAGCATTTGAGGGGGCTTTTAAAAGAAAGACTTTCACTAGTATATGAAAATTATCATACTGTTAAGGATTTTTAGGGTTACACTGTTACCACAAATTACAATGAAGGATAGTATGACTGATTCTCTCTGTTGACGACCACGCTCGAGCACCAGGGAGAGGCGGCCCAGGGGAACCAATGAGTTTCCTCTTAATACACAGTGGGTGTGACCTCCTAGGCTCTGAGGGACCTACTTCCTTAATTTCAAGAATCTTTCCCCAATAGTTTAATGGACACTGTAAGTATAATTAAAACATCAAAGAACAGTAACAAACCCCCTCCCCCACAACTCAGTTTCCTTAAAGGAACTCAGAAGGCCTTGAATCTGTAAGAACCATGTCTCTCTCTGGAGGGATGATCCAGAATCAAGCTCGCCCAGCAAGTTCTCTCCAAGGATGAAGTGCTGATTCATGACTCACCTTCAGAGACAGAACCATTTGCTGGAATTTCCACCCTGGCTTGCTTTCTAAAAACACAGGCAATGCTTTTAGAAATGTACACATGGTCAAGTCTCTCTTGACACCAAGAGAAATGAAAGGTTGTGTTAGACATCATTCTGTAAACTAAGAATTTTCCTATATAAAATAAGTCATGTTTTTGGGGTTGACCCCACTTTCCATCTAGTAACTTGAAAATCTTTGGTAGAAGAGTTGTCACTTCAACAGACTTCCACAACGAATGCCTCTAATCTGCACTGCGCTTCTTACAATCCCCACTCAGGCCGGCGCAAACACCTCCCACCTGTGTGACATGTCTTCCATTTCTCACTCAGAACAGTGCCTGCTGGACACACAGCACCACTGAATCAATCTAATATGAACAGTAAACCTTAATTAAAATACCTCTGTGTTTTCTTTCTTGGCGGGTGTTTTGTCCATTGGCACCAACAGTGGAATTTCATCCTCAGACTGGTCTTCCACTTTTAACTGGGCTTTTTTTACTCTGTGGCTCTTTTCCTTCTGTCCAGGAGTCTCTCCCTTCTGGGGTCCTGGGCTCTTCACCGGGGCACCACTGACCTCAGCCGAGCCCTTCTCTTTCACTGGGGCCGATTTAGACTTTGCAGCCTGTTGCATTTCCCTTTTCCTCCTTTTCTTCTCTTTCTTTTTCTGGAGCTTTTCTTTTTGTTTTCTCTTTGCCTCCTACCAAACAAACGGACCAACAATTTTAGCTACTTTTGCAGGTAAATTAATTCCAACAGGAAAGCCAGCACTCTACCAACGTCATTAACAGGTTCTCCAACCTTTACTAAGCAAATCTAATTCAAAAGACCGCTAGCACTGTACACGGCATAGATAGCACTTGCAGTTCTGATTATTTGTAAGTTTCCTGGAAAAGGTCCTTGGCCCACACAACTCTGAGAGAACAAACCTTGCTACTGGCATTGGAGTCTCAACTCCACTGTATTGGTCTTGACTCACAGGCAAAGATGCGTGTTAATGAGGTAAACTATATACAGGTGGTTACAGATTTCATGTAAATTAATCCCATGTATAGGTGAGTTAAGAATAATTCTGAACTGTACGGTATGTGAATTTTATCTCAATAAAGCTGTTATTAGATTCAAAAAAAAGGAAGGAGCTGACCGTATTTTTTCCTACTTCAAGCTATGGTTGAAAATTAAAAAGGTTTCAGCTAGAGGTCTTTTATCCTTATCAAAGTCAATTAAATGAAATTTACAGTAACGTCCAAATGTCATTTTCACCAACAATTTAAACATTTTTACAAAACTCACAACTGAATGTGCTAACAAACGGCAAAGAATCCAGACTTCTTGATTCCAGTAACAGCAATCAGTATTATTTTGGGTCATTCTCCCAATGAAAGCAAGTTAAAAAACATGGTAAAATATTCTGTAAAAATGCTGATTCCAACATAAGAAATTTAAAACGGAAACCCAGAGAGAGAAGTGAGCACAGAAGCCATTTTGACCTAAGAGTATCTGCTAATCCTTAACTTGGAGAAGAAAACACTGAACGGACTGAACAAACCTATCTTGGAAGACAGCCAGACTTCTCTTTAGAAGCGAGCATGCTAAACTTTGTCTAAGGTACCCGGGACATGTTCTCAGCAGGGACCAGTCCCTGGAAAAGGACATCATGCTTGGTGGAGGGTCAACAACAAAGAAGAAGGCCCTCAATGAGATGGACTGTCTCTGCTACAACAATGGGCTCCAACACAGATGATCACGAGGATGGTGCAGGACCAGGCACCGTTTCATTCTCTTGTACCCAGGGCCGCTCTGAGCAGGAACCGACTCGACGGCATCTGACAGCATCTTCTGCTTTTTCAGCATGTGGGATAGGGGGTGAAGTAGGGAGCAATCAACCTGAGAGCCCACACCAGGTGGGAATCTAAGAGGAAACCCTCCTCACAAAAGCTAGGACTGCAACGAGGTACACTCGGAACCCAGGCAGATTTACAGCCACGGTTTGGTTAGTGTCATTCAGAGAACCTTAATCCCTGATGTACTTTAAGGAGATTTGGGGCTGAGTGCCCCCTGGTGCCCTGCAGAAGTCAATGCAAATCCTCTTGAGGAAGGTATCTTCATCCTACAGCCAAATTATCTCCACAAACCATTTCCAAGCATGACGACCATGACAGTGATAACCAAGCACACAAAGAGCCAGCAGATACAGACACTTAGCTGCAACATTGAGACTTCTGTCTCAATTACCAGGTATCTGCAGAAGTCTGGGGAATATGGGTAAAGCAAAAAATAAATATGGGTAAAGCAAAAAAGACCAAAAGATTAAAAACTCACTAGACATGATCAATAAGGGTAAAGAGAAGAACTACTGAATTAGGAGATAGGTCTAACAAATAGCAAAGAATTATCTGGACTAAAATTTTGGCTCATTCTGTCCTCTTCCACACTAGTACCCGTGGCACTGATAATCCACAATCATCAACATCAAGGTGGATGTTGTTGTTATTAGGTGCCGTGGTCAGCTCTAACAAGTGTCTGTTAGCCCAAGGACAACAAAAACCCTGTTGCTGTGCCGTGGATTCTGATGCGCGGCAACCCCACGTGGTAGAGTACGACTGTTCCACAGGGCTTTCCTGGCTGTATCCTCATGGAAGCAGTTGGCCAGGCCTTTCTTCTGTGGTGCTGAGCATAGGTTCAAACTACCGGCCCTTAGCTTAACAGTCAAGCACAAACTCACTCAGGAGCCTGTTAGCCCGATACAACCTCCAACTCCGCCTGCGACTAACAAGTACTCAATAAGGTAGACTTTGGCTTTCCCCTTCCTCCTGCTGATGTACAGGGTCCCAGTTTAGTTCTTTCATGCCTTAATTAAAATAGTTCTTATTAATAAGGGATTTCTATCTGGATGTGCCTTACTCACACAAATATTAATCACTCTCATATGTAAAGTGGAACAGTGGACACAAAAGCACCACCACTGGAAACTACTCGGCAGCACACAAAGAGGGAATGACAACTGAGTTCTTTTCTTTGAGCCGAGTTTACATTCTTGATAATAATTAAGTCTGTGCAGTTTTTAAAATTCTACTAACTTTTTTCTTCTGGCCAGGAAGGGGTCCTCTTTTCCCATCACACAAGGAGCTGACGAATGAAGAGAAGACTGGGAGGGCAGCAGACCTCTCGGTTTTCAGGTATAACAGTTTCACACTCTCCCACTTCTGCAACAAAGACAAGGGTAACATCTTTATACACAGCTTGCTGGTTTCACACGAACAATCAACTGATGTACCTGCGAGACTACATACCTCTGGCAATTTTTCCGAAAGCCCTTTTGTGACAGTAAGGACGTTTTCAACAATGTGTGGGATCTTCATTCCGGTGTGACCAACACGTATGGTGCTGAAATTTATGAGAGCATCAGACAACAGTACTTTTTAAAACAATGTTTTTTAAAACAAAGCTTAGGTACATGGAGAACACAAATATACAATCCTAAGTTTTTTTTTTTTTAAAGGCAGAAACATTAAAACATTAAACATTAAACTCTTTAGATTCTAAATATATTAGATGAGTATCACCTCTGGGTTTCATGTTGCAGAAATCTCTACACCTGACATGAGATGCATGGAAAGGGGGTTCCAGAAGGGCTGGTACTCAACTGTGTGAGGCCAAGAGGGCAGTAGGCAGGGCCGAATACAGGTTGGCCTTCATCTGGCAAAACTCAAGCACTGCTGAGTAGAGGCAAGCCATCTGAGAGGAATCACCTCCAGGAATGGAAAGGGGAGCTGCCCGCCATCTTTATAGCTCTACTGGCCCAACCAAGCAGTCACCTTCGGACATAAACAGTCCTTCACATAATAATGTCTTCCAGCTGACAGTAGGCAGTCCCCTCAGATGCAGCAGAGGCAGATGGAACCCAGAGGTAAATGTGAAGTGCTCAGCGCTCAGCCACTACTGGGACTGCCTATCCCTGCTGCCGCTCCCTACCCCACCCCCCAGTGGATAGGGATGCATGTCTGTAGGACAAGGACAAGGCAGGGGCTCCCTTCAGCCAAACATAAGGCTCTGTGTACCCTTCTCCCCTGGCCTACAAGCACAGCCTAGGCTTCCCAGTGGAAAAGACAACAGGCCGAAAGACAAGAAACTACTGTGTTGGGGAGATGAAAGAATGGTCAAAATTTTGTCATTTTTTTATAGTGGTCCACAGCTTTCTTTAAGGTATGGGTTTTGACTCAGAAAATCTGGGGCAGGAGACTCCTGTCCCTTCATCTACCTTCATGGTCCTGCCCTCTTTCTCCCAGCTACTGGCTCCACAAGCCAGGCCCCTGACCTTCTCGCTAACTACATCCCTTGAGTGTTTGCTCTTGTATCAGTCTATAAACCAAAGAAGTGGGGAGGGGGTTCCAAGCCTGGAAATCTATTCTTCTCAGCCACTCAATTATACCCTATTCAAGAAGCTTTCCACCTGCAGGCAAGAGGCCAGTACTACAGCCCACCTTCTCTGCCCAGCTATATACCCTGCTCTGTGCTGGGCTGGCCTCCCTGTTGGCAGCCATGTACTCTCTGGTTCTATATGCTAGTGTGTGTTACCATGGGGTACACAGAGGCTCCTCATCTTAGGGTGGGAATGTACAGGAGGAAGGACTTTACTGGCAGGTGCCAGCCCCTCACTAAACACCCAAGACAGCAGATGAACTATTTTATCCGTTACGTTTTAAATGTTTAAAACTGGCTACCACCTCACTCCAAAAAAGCTGATACACTGTCATGCCCTCAAACGTAACCTACTTCTCGGCCCAATAAAAACTCATGACACTGGCTGCCCTGAGAGCCCAGAAGCACAAATGTTCTCTAAGCATTCATCTATTTTCCTTTGTTTCCTTAATATCTACAGCTTCCCTGTCCAATGTAGTAAGCACTAGCTACATGTAGCTATTAAAAATAAAAAAATCAGATTAAACACATGCACACAGTAATGTCTTTCACCTACCTGCAAGAGCCATTTTTAGAGATGTTTAAGATCGTTCCACCAATACAATCATTGATCTCTTTTGATAAATCCTTGGCCATGAGGTTGACACATACTGGGACTCTATAAAGACACACAGGCTGTCAGAGAACAGTGGACATGCACCTCTTCATGCCATTCTGCTGAAGCCTGGGCATGGCAAAGACACTTACTTCTTCCTGAGATAGAAATGTTTTCCTATAATTGAGGGCAAAAGTCTCCTAATTCTTGCGTCAGTGAGGAAGAAGTCGAAACTACCCAAGAGGCGGAGCTTGGCTTCATAGGGTTTATATTCTTTTTTTAAAGTCCGGAGCGGGATGACCTAGAAAACATAAGAGCAAAATCTCAAAAAGAACCTGGACAATAAAAAATATTCAGGCAATTATTTGTATTCTACCCCATTCAGATTTTATGGTGTCCTAGTGGTGATGTAGGAGGTAAGGCAGTTGGCTGCTAACCAGGTCGGCAGTTCAAACCCACCAGCCACTCTGCAGAAGGAAGATGGGGCAATCTCCCTCTGTAAAGATTTATACCCCTGAAATCCCAATGGGAGTCGCCATGAGTTAGAGTCAACTCGATGGCAATGAGTTTGTTTTTTTCTGGTTTTAGAGCCATGCAAGCCACATCTGGGGTTCTGTGGTGGCAGTTAAGTCCTCAACTACCAATTGGAAGGCCAGCACTCAGAGAGGTGTGTCAGAAGAGAGGCCTGGCTCTCTGCTTCTGAGAGGTCACAGCTTCAAAAACAGTTCAGTACAGTTCTACTCTGCAATACATGGGGTTACCATGAGATGGAATCGCTTCGACAGCCAACTGGTTTGGTACTTTTGGTTTAGAGCTGTGCTGATTGCAGTTTAGTCAATGTGTGAGTGCCTAACACGTACCAGGTACTGTGAAAAATGCTGGGGACACCAAGAAAGAAAACTTGGGCCCTACTAAAGAAATTCTGATCCAGATAATAAATGAAGACAAGTAAACTAACTACAAAACCAAATACCAAACCCATCACTGTCAAGTCAATTCTGACTCACAGCAACCCTACAGAGAAGAACTGCTGTAGGATTTCCAAGGCTGTAATCTTTACAGAAGCAGACTGTCATATCTTTCTCCCAGGGAGAAGCTGGTGGGTTTGAACCACTGACCTTCTGGTTAGCAGCCAACCACTTAACCACTGTGTCACTAACTCTTCCCACCCCAACTACTGAAACAGGATAATAAATGCTCAGTTGGAGGCAATCACAGGTGCTATGGAAGTACAGGCCAGGAGTTAACAGCAACTTTTGGGTAATCTATCTACAGGGAGCTCTGGTAGCAGAGTGGATAAGACACTTGCCTGCTAACCAGACGGCTGGCGGTTCAAACCCACCAGCCACTCCTTGGAAGGAAGGTTGGGCAATCCTACTTCCGTAGTGATACTGCCTCGGAAACCCAAGGAGGGGTCGCTATGAGTCGGGCCGACTCGACGGCGCATAACAACAACAACAACAACATCTACAGGAGAGGTAATTACTGACAGTACACAATTAGCTTTCAGGTGAACAAACCTTGACAGCTCCTTCAGCAGAGAAGATGGAAGACACCCACTTAAATTCACTGAAGTCAATTTAAAAGGTGAAAGCAAACTAGAGAAACACTAAGAAATACAATAATGAAGTATTTACAACATCCACTGAATTGATCTTTTGTCTGAAAACAGTAACCTGCTCCTTACCTGAGAAATGGTTCTAATGTTATGCTTGTTCAGAAGATTCCGATAGAAATGTTCTGTCTTCTCAGGTGTTAAATTAGGTTCATCCTTGGTAAATAAACAGATTTCTGTTAAATCTGATCGAATAGCATAAGGCAAGGACCTGCAAAACACATGAGAAGGAAGCCAAGAGTAAAGTATCATTACCAACAATACATATGTTTATATTTTGCAAAATACACAATTGATTAGCTTTCATTCATATTATTTAAACAAGTACAGGACAAAAACATTTCAATACACACGTCTAGTTTTCAATGGTACAGAGACAAGATTTAAGATTCATGGAAACCACCACAAATACCGAGGTCATGACCTTTAGAATTAAAATGTAAACAAAGCAGCCCCACATATTACACGTGATAGTATTATTACGTTTCATATATACTATACCACACACACATCGAGGAACCCTGGTACTGCAAAGCACTCGGCTACTAACCAAGATTGGGAGTTCAAATATACTGTGGGAGTAAACCCCTGGAGTTCTGCTCCCGTAACAGCCTGGGAAAGCCTACTGGGCAGTTAGTTCTGCTCTGTCATATAGGGTTGACATGAGTTGGAATCAACTTTTGGCAGCACACTACGACAGATATATATACGTGACGGAATAACCTAGTTCACCAGGACAATTCTGGCTTAGAACTTTACTGTCTTGAAATCTCTTAGCTCCATAGGCAATAAAACTCTTAAGAGCCGAAACAGAAAACATGGAGCAAACCAGGAAGGACCCTCAAGCATTACTGATTATGTCAAGTCTTAAATAGGTTAACCTGTTCCCTGGGCCTACATATTCTGCAGAAACGTTCCTTAGTTTATGAAGAAACAGCAACACACAGTAGCATAATATCCTAGAAAAGTGAGAAGGGACTCCAAAAAACCACCTAAGCAAAAGTGTTGCATATAGAGGGGACAAAGAATGCATAAAGCACTCTGGCTGAAGCACGTTTGTGAGAATCAATTGAGACTAAAAAGGGTCCTGCCTGTTACTAACCATTCCCACCTCCTCCCCTCTTCATGTGAAAAGAAAGTTACTCTACACAAAACTTTAAACAGAGTTGGCTTTCTGTCACTGTCAGGGCTATGAGGGACTTGACACAGAGGTAGATACATGACTCCCAGTTAAATTTGAGTTTTAGAGAAGCAACAACTCATTTTTTAGTATAAGTAGGTCCCAAATACTATACAGGGCCTATATACACTAAAAAGCTATTTATATTTCTATTTGCTAAATATGGCAACTCTACAAACAGGGCATCTCTGACCAACAATTTCTACCAAAAAGAACATGTAATCACACTCGCTTTCTTTTCCACGGAAAAGTATCCACTACCAAGTTTTTAAAAAGAATCAGTTGCTGTCGGTCAATTTTGACCCATGGTGACCCCACACGTGTTAGAGTAAAACTACTATCTGTAGGGTTTCCAGTGGCTGACTTTTCAGAAGCAGATGGTCTGGTCTTTCTCCATCTTTCTGGGGGTCCTCAAACCGCCAACCTTTCAGGTAGCAAAGAAGCATGTTAATGGCTTGTAACATCCAGGGACTTCAAGCTTGTTTTTTTCTTTAAAATTTATTTTGTCGTTGAGGACACACACAGTAAAACATACACCAGTTCAACAGTTTCTACACGTATGAGTCAGCGACACTGATTCTACTCTTCAAGTTGTGCATCCATTCCCACCCTCCGTTTCTGAGCTGTTTCTCCCTCATTCACATAAACCACTGCTCCCTCAGGCTCCTAGCTAATCTTCTGAATGGCTATTATCAATTTGATTCCATACAGATAGTTCTTAAAAGAGTATATTGTTCAAGATATCGACTTTTTTATTTTTTTTTACTAGTTAAGCTAAACTTTGGGTTTAAGACTTCAGAAGATGTTTTTGGTTTCAGATAAAGAGTCCATGAAAATTTGAAACTCTGTTCTGCATTTTCCTCTTTTTGATCAAGATCCTTCCACAGATCTTTGATCAAAATGTTCAGTCACGGTGTTGTTGTTGTTGTTATGTGCCGTCGAGTCGGACCCGACTCATAGCAACCCCTCCTTGGGTTTCCGAGGCAGTATCACTAAGGAAGTAGATTGCCCCATCTTCTTTCAGTCATGGTAGTGGGACACTATCCAGTTCTGGTCTCAGGGCAAAGGAGGCAGTTGTTTATGGAGGCAATTAGCCACATCTTCCATATCCTCCTCCCATTTCTGACTCTCTTCCTTATTCTGTGGCTCCAGGTGAATAGAGACCAACTGTTATGCCACGGATGGCAGCGTGCAAGCCTTTAAGACACCAGGCACTAAGTAATGAACTAGGAGGTAGAACAGGAGCTTTAAAAATGTTATTAGGCCAATTAACTGAGATTTTGCATGAAACCATGACCTTAACCCCCCAAACCAAATCCCAAGAGGTATATGGCTGTATATAAGCAGCCTTAGCAGCTACCCTTTTATTTATTTGTTGCTGTGGTAAATATATCTATTAAGACTTTTGCCAATCGGGACTCCAATTTTTCAAGTTTCTGTGTAAAGGTACAAGTCCAGGCCCTCATGAATTTTACCTTAAAAATACTCCGACACGAAAAGAACAGATTCTACTAAAATATAAAAGCTGTTTATTCTGAGCCCTCTAAACTAAGTTTTGCATTTGGTAAAACTGCCAACCTCTCAGAGAGCTGATGAAATTCTAGAAAATTTTAGCATGTCTGAATTCCTACAGTTCTTTTAGGCACCATTATTTTTTTTATCCCAGATTTTTGTCTACCCTTTGCAAAGTTACCACTGAAAACAGTTGCCACTGTTAGATGGAAAAAAAGCAAACAGAGAAGACCAAAACTTACAATCTGACCCTCAGTTCTTTTTTTGGAATTTTCCATAATACCACCATTAAAAATAAATTTTCATTCTCGTTCAAAAGCACTTCATTAGCGTTTTTTCTGGACTGTGAATGTGCCAAGAGCGCTTTCACTGCTTTTTTAACCTGCAAAGTGGAGATAAGAAATAAGTTAAATCTCCCTTCCGTTTTTTGCTCTAACTTCTATTTTGATAGGCAACCTCCATAACCCTATCTACTAGAAACAGAGCAGTTCATACTCTCAGGAACGTAAGAATTCGTGAGAAATCTCGTATCCGCCTCCAGCACTCATTTACAGAAACGGACGTCTTCTACAAAAGACCACCGGGCCGGATCGGGATACGCTTCCCCTGTACTCAACTATGACCGAGATAATCCCAGTAAAAGAGTAATATAAACTATAACTAGCATTCATTAAGGGCTTAGTAGGCGCCGGCCCCTGGTTAAAGCGGCTTACTTTCATTACGTTATCTGATCCTGGAAAGCGGAAGGCCGAAGAGTCCCTTTTAAACAAGAAATAATCGGAGATGAGAAAATTAAGTGACTTGGCCAAGGTCAAATGGTTAGGAAGGAAAGCCAGGTCTCTCACTCCAGACCTCAAGTTATTTGCAAGCCAGGTAAAGAGAACCAGGCCGCAGGATGGGGAAGCAGGCGCACACTCGCGCGGATAACTAACGGACACACCGAGGCGCGCAGCGAGCAAGCGAGTCCCCCAAAGCCACGGAGACGTCCGTCGTGGTGCCCCAGGCCCACGACCACTCACCCGCCACCACTGCACCTCACAAAGGCCACGGCCACCCGGCTTCTGAACTGCCCTCCTCAGAGGCCACTCACTTGTATTTTTTTCAGCTCCAGCCGCGGTTCTGCTGCGGCTGGGGTTGCTGGAGTCCGGGAGGAAGCGGGGGTCGAAGTCGATGGCTCCATTCCTCCCCGACCTCGTGCAGAGTCGCGTGCAGAAACGCCAGGATAACTCCTTCCGCGCACACGTAAACCCAGGCCCGCAGCCGGAAGTAAGGGGGCGGTAACCGGGTCCGTTTGCGTCACTTCCGAGAGGGCGCGCGGTTTAGTTCCAGGGCGTCGCGGCTAGGAGGTGGAGTATCAGTTAGTGTACTGAGTGAGGTGCTCCGGCTGTGGTGGGAGTATCTCCGTTTGGTCACTTTTTTCTCCTTCCGTCTGCTCTCGGTTCCTAGAGGCGCGGGAAGTAGCCTGGCGATCCCTCTCTCTCCATCTGACACGAAAGAAACCGAGAAAGCACGTTGAGGCGACACAGTTGCCCTATAAGCTGACGCAGTGGGGTTACCCGTTCCCTCTGGGCCCACCTTCGGGAACCTGAGGCTATGGGGTTCAGTCTCGGTACCTTGGTTCCACCCACCTGCTTTGTGACTTTGGGCGAGCCACTTACGCTTCCGAGCTCTAATCTCCTCAGACGCGAGGAGAACGGTCATGCCTCGTCACAGGGTCGAGGACTCAGTGAATAGCCCACGGAAAGCACCAGACAAGTCGTCTCTAAGCGGTCTGAGGCCGAAAGCTGAAACGACCCAGTCTCTTAGGAGCTTCGGTCTCCCTGAGGCGGGAGGTAAGCGCATATACAAATAAGTATGGAGACTGGATAACGGCTAAGATGGAATACTGCAGACGGTCTCCTTCCCTCTTTAGGTCGTCATCCCCGGAGGTCATCACAATTAACAGTTTCTCCAGTAACCTTCCAGAAATGTCCTAAACATGTTGTGAAAATACCTGTACTTTTTATCTCTTACAGATCGTTGGATTTAAATTTCATCCCCTCCCCCAGTACCCACCCTGCTATGTCATCGAAGGTTTCCAAAGCTGTAAGTCGTTAAGGAAACTGACCGTTTTGTCATTCTCCCGAGGAGCGGCTGATGGGTCCGAACCGTCGACCTTTTACTTAGCAGCCGAGTGCCTTTAGCCGTCGCACCACCTGAGCTCCTTTAAGAACACAAATACTACCAAAACATACTCAAGGGCTCTGCATCTTACTCTGTCTTGGAGATTGTTCCCAGTCAGTCACCTATTTCAGTGGCTGTCTGGCATTCCTCCACGTAGCTATACTAAAATTAAGTATCTTTTGGACATTCAAGATGGTTCCAGGCATTTTTGCAACTAGCTAAGATTTTTGAGAGATGAAAGAATGGGAATAGGAGGCTTTCCATGTCAGCTATTTTGAAAAAGTGCTCCTTTCCAATTTCCAAAGTTGGAAAAAGCAGTGTTCTGCTGCTGATCTCTAAGAATGGACTTGTCTTTAACCACATTTTAGAAATGTTCTTAAATCTTTAGCACCTATTTCTGTCTGTATATTTTATTATAGAATGTGAGCTCTAGTGGCACAATACCTAAGGCATATACCTGCTAGCCAGAAGGTTGGTGGTTCAAACCCACCAACTCTTCATTGGAAAGAAGATGACGCGATCTGCTTCTGTAAAGATTTACTGCCCTGGAAACCCAATGGAGGTCGCTATAGTTGCAGTCAACTCAATGGCAGTGGGTTTGGTTTATTTATTATAGAATGTATTATAAAATGGAATTAGATTTAGTACAAAATTATGAATTGTTACTTTAGGTTTGATGTATTCAGCATTTTCTAGTATTTTAAAAAGAGCACTGGTGCTATCAGATGCTCTGTCACCTGCATGCATTTAAGAACCAGACTTGTAGGCCAAGAAAAAGGCATGAATTCCAGAGAAAGAGCATAGAGGTGTTTGGAAGGAGTAAGTTGTTGGAGCAGGGGTACACAAAGGGGAGGAATGGGAGGTGAAGCTAGAATGATAGGTCAAGGAATTGATTCATTATCAAGTGAGAATCTGTACTTTAGAGAAGTTTTAGAGACATAATTTTTTGTTTTAATTGTGGTAAATATATAGATAAAATATTTCCCATTTGAACAGTTTTTACATGTATAATTCAATGACATTAAATTTGTTCAGTTGTTCGACCATCACCATTAACTGTTCCTGATTTTCTCCGTCATCCTTAACAGCAGCTCAGTGTCCCCTGAGACAAGGTTTTTGAACTGATGATAGGGAAGAAAAAAAGGTGGTGCCTCAGAAGGAAGATTGGGCAATCTACTTCCATAGTGATACCACCTCAGAAACCCAAGGAGGGGTCGCTATGAGTCAAATCCAACTCAAGTCCAGTGGGGTGGTTTTTTTTTAAGGAAAATTACTCATCTGGCAATGGCACTGTAGTTGTTTTTAAAATATGTTTTATATGTCTATAACTTCCTTGATACTTCTTCCTTTAAGCAATGGAACTTACTTCCCCTCTCCCTGAGTATAGTCTGGACTTGGTGACTCACTTCTACTAAGTAAAATATAGCAGAAGTGATGAGAAATGGGATGTTACTTCCAAGACTAGGTTATAAAATGACTGTAGTTTCTACCTTCTCTCTTTTCCTTCTCTTTCTCCTTTCTTCCCTCCCTCAAATCACTTGGTCTCAGTGAAGCCAGCCACCATGTTATAGAGGATACTCAGGCAGCAACCACATGAGTGCACACAGAAACGGATCCTTCCCCAGTCAAATCTTGAGGTGACTGCACCTTCATGAGAGACCCTGAGCCAGAACCATCCAGCTAAGTGGCTCGTAGATTCCTGACTCACAAAAACTGTGAAATAATAAGTGTTCGTTATTTGAAGTCACTAAGTTTGGGGTGTGGAGCCGCCCCTGAGCCACAGGCCACAGTAAGCCAGCCCTAGGACCAGCGGAAGGTGGGTGCTTGCCTCTGGGGCAGGCTGAGTAAGTGAGCAGGGCAGGGGAGACCAGGAAATGAGCAGAGTAGACACCTAGGGTAGACAAACTTGTCTGTCAGTTTGTCCTACTGTGATGGCATGAGTGTTGCTGTGAGGCTGGAGCTATGCAACCTGTGTTTCAAATGCCAGCAGGCTTACCCATGGTGGACAGTTTCAGGGGAGCCTCTAGACTAAGACAGACTCAGAAGGAGGAGGAGGCCATCCACTTCTCAAAGAATTGGCCAGTGAAAACCTTACGAATAGCAGTGAAACATTGTGCGATACAGTGTCGGAAGATGAGCCCCTCAGGTCTGAAAACACTCAAAATATGACTGGAGAAGTGGGGCCGCCTCAGAGTAGAGCCATCCTTAATGATGTTCATAGAGTAAAGCTTTCAGAACCCCTATTTGCTGATGTGGCACATATCAAGATGAGAAGAAACAGCTGCAAACATCCATTAATTATTGGAACATGGAATGTACTAAGTATGAATCTAGGGAAATTGGAACTTCTTAAAAATGTAATGGAACACATAAAGATTGATATCCTAGGCATTAGTGAGCTGAAATGGACTGGTTTTGGCCATTTTGAATCAGGCAACCATATGATCTACTATGCCAGGAATGACAAATTATAGAGGACTGGTGTGGCATTCATTGTCACAAAGACTTTCAAGATCTGTCCTGAAGTGCATTGCTGTCAGTGATAGGATAATATCCATATGCCTACAAGGAAGACCAGTTAATACTAATATAATTCAAATTTATACATCAATCACCAAAACCAAAGATAAACAAAGATTTTTACCAACTTCTGTAGTCTGAAGTTGACTGAACATGCAATCAAGATGTGTTAATTACCATTGGTGATTAGAATACAAAAGGTGGAGACAAAGAAGAATCACCGGTAGTTGGAAAATATGGACTTGGTGATAGAAATGTTGCTGGAGATCACATGATAGAATTTTGCAAGACCAACGACTTACTCATTGCAAATATCTTTTTTCAACAACACAAATGGCAACTATACACATGCACTTTGCCAGATGGAGTACACAGGAAATCAGACTGACTACATCTGTGGCAAGAGGCGATGGAGAAACTCAGTATCTTCAGCCAGAACAAGGCCAGGAGCTGACTGTGGAACAGACCATCAACTGCTCACATGCAAGTTCAAGTTAAAGCTGAAGACAATTAAAAAAAAACTCCAGGAGAGCCAAAATATGACCTTGATTATATCCCTCGTGAATTTAGAAATTATCCAAAGGATAGATTTGATGCATTGAACACCAGTGACTGAAAACCAGAGGAGTTGTGGGATGACATCAAGAACGTCATCCATAAAGAAAGCAAGAAGTCATTAAAAAGACAGGAAAGGAAGAAAAGACCAAAATGGATGTCAGAAGAGACTCTGAAACTTGCCCTTGAATGGAGAGTAGCTAAAGCAGATGGAAGAATTGACAGGATATAAAGAGCTGAACAGAAGATTTCAAAGAGCAGCTTGAGAATACAAAATCATTTATTACAATGAAATGTGCAGAGACCTGGAGTTGGAAAACCAGAAGGGAAGAACATGCTCAGCATTTCTCAAACTGAAAGAACTGAGTAAAAATTTAAGCCTTGAGTTGCAATTTTGGAAGATTCCGTGGGCAATATGTTGAATGATTCAGGAAACATCAAAATAAGATGGATGGAATACACAGAGTCACTATACCAAAAAGAATTGATGGATGATCATCCATTTCAGGAGGTGGCATATGATCAAGAACGAGTGGTACTGAAGGAGGAAATCAAAGCTGCACTGAAAGAATTGGTGAAAAACAAAGCTTCAGGAATTGATGGAATACCCATTGAGATGGTTCAATGAATGGATGCTGTGCTGGAGGCACTAACTCATCTATGCCAAGAAATTGGGAATACAGCTACCTGGCCAACTGACTGGAAGTGATCCATATTTGTACCCATTCCAAAGAAAGATGATCCCACAGAACGTGGAAATTATCGAACACTATCACTATTATCACACGCAAGTAAAATCTTAAGAAAATTCAAAAACGGTTGCAGCAGTATATAGACAGAACTTCCAGAAATGCAACTGGATTCAGAAGGGGACATGGTATGAGGGATATCATAGCTAATGTCAGATGGATTTTGGCTCAAAGCAAAGAATACCAGAAAGAT